GCTGGCAGGAATAGCCAACACTCCAGAAGACAGGCTTAGGATACAGGAGGATCTGGACAGACTTGAACACTGGGCGCTATCTAACAAAATGAAATTCAATGGTGAAAAAAGTAAGGTTCTACATTTAGGCAAGAAAAACCAAATGTACAGGTATAGTATAGGGGGTACCTTGCTCAATAGTAGTAACTGTGAGAGGGACTTCAGAGTCCTAGTGGACAATCACTTAAATATGAGTCAGCAGTGTGCTGCAGCTGCCAAAAAGGCCAACACAGTGCTGGGCTGCATTAATAGAGGGATAGACTCAAGATCACATGAAGTATTAATACCACTTTACAATGCCTTGGTAAGGCCACACTTGGAATACTGCATCCAGTTTTCGTCACCACGATGTAAAAAAGATGTTGAGACTCTAGAAAGAGTACAGAGAAGAGCAACAAAGATGATTAGGGGACTGGAGGCTAAAACTTACAAAGAACGGTTGCTGGAATTGGGTATGTCTAGTTTAATGAAGAGAAGGACAAGGGGGGACATGATAGCAGTGTTCCAATATCTCAGGGGCTGCCACAAAGAAGAGGGAGTCAAGCTATTTTCCAAGGTGCCTGAAGGCAGGACAAGAAGCAATGGGTGGAAACTGATCAAGGAGAGAAGCAACCTAGAACTAAGGAGAAACTTCCTGACAGTTAGAACAATTAACCAGTGGAACAACCTGCCTACAGAAGTGGTGAATGCTCCAACATTGGAAGTTTTTAAGAAGAGACTGGAAAGCCATTTGTCTGAAATGGTATAGGGTTTCCTGCCTGAGCAGGGGGTTGGACTAGATGACCTCCAAGGTCCCTTCCAACTTCATTATTATTATTATTATTATCTCAGGGTCCTTTCCCAGTTCATTTACTAAGTGCTGCAGAAGCATGTTGATCCCTGGCCTGTGTTCACACATTCTCTATATACCATATTCAAGTACTGTTGGTGAAAAAAGCCTGTACGGAAAGTGTTCCTTTATTGTAGGTATTTGGAAAGCTGCTCACTTAAAATAATGGATTGGGTTTTAGAAATAATAAATAATTGACTCTAAAGTCTTAAACTGAAAAGTTGAAATATTTTTTAACTTAGATGGATTATCTCTACTGCCCTTCAAATGTATTGATACTGACGTTCTGGTATGTGGCTGGAAATTCCCAAGTGTCTGACACATTTGATGGGCATTAGAAGAGAAAGGCTTCTTGTACAAACAACAAGACTTGGGAGAAAACAGTAAACCATCAGAAATAAGAAATAAATGCATGTAAGTTGCAGATGTACTGAACAGAAAAAAATATTTAGATTTCTCAGTATTAAGAAAATGCCTGTCATCCTTGCTCGGTTTTTCCATTTTGATTTTTCTAGTTGGTTTAGTTTTAATTGTTCCTGTTGGTTTTTATTTCCAAATATGTCTGTTGTGAATGCTCCCACATAAAATTGTTTTAACTTTCCACCTGAAGTTTTGAGGGATGTGGCCAAGTGAATTCTAGGGAAGATGCCACCATTAGGTTTTGATATTTACAACCACTTTAGATGCCTTGTAGGGAATGGAATGTAAAGCTTCTTTCAATCTTCTTTGTTGGTTTCTTAATCACTTTATATTCTATTCTTTTTATATATCAAATGTATATATTTTAACTATAGTGAACGGAACAACAGGAGAAGGTCTATCCCTAAGCATTCAGGAGAGAAAACAGTTGGCAGAGGAATGGGTGACCCAAGGCAAGGATAAGTGAGTAATTTTTGTGGCAAATGTTGCATTGTTTTCTGTGAAATTGTTGCCTAAGTACAATAAGCAAAGACACTAGATTGTGAAATCTGCATTCTCCTATTGCTGCTGTTGCTTTTGGGGGAGGAGGGGTTAAATACCAGTGAGTGAGATTGTTTTCACAGAATATTGCAGAAATGGTTATTTATAATAAGTTAATTGTTACTTGCAAATTATCTGCTTCTTCCTGTTGTTGAACAAAGAGGAAAAGTAGGAAGTGATTACTATGATAGTTTGCCTCAACCTGGTTCATTTCAGAGCTGGACCTGGTTGTTTATAATTCCTGATGGTTGGCTATGCAACTGTCAATTAAGTTCAACACATCTGGAAGATACCAGATTGGATACATTGAATTAGTTATATCTGCCTTATTTTGTCTCAAGCAGAAGTGGGACTTTAAATGCTGCTGAACAATAACTCCCAACATGCCTTACCGTTGATCATGTTGGCTGAGGCTATTGGAAGTGGTAGTTCATCGTTAGATGTAGATCCAGAGGCTGACAATGAGGCAAAAAAAGATTGCATCTGGGGAAAGGGATAATACTGCTGAGCAAGACCAGATTCTTGTGCACTAATTCTGGTTCAGAAATGAGAATAACACCTTTATGAACTCCACTCCATCAGAGTATTTGTACTGTGACTTTGTAGCTGCTGTCATTGTGATCCCTCAGACTCTATGCAAAGACCTTTTTTCCAAGACATAAAAGTGTGGATCTGGCATCAGGAGAGAGAGAGCTGATAGAGAGTTGTTGTTCACGCTGTCTTATTCACCTGAAGGCAGGGCAAGAAGCAACGGATGGAAACTAATCAAGGAGAGAAACAACCTAGAACTAAGGAGAAATTTCCTGACAGTTAGAACAATAAACCAGAGGAACGACCAGCTTCCAGAAGCTGTGAATGCTCCAACACTGGAAGTGTTTAAGAAGAGACTTGACAGCCATTTGTCTGAAATGGTATAGGGTTTCCTGCCTGAGCAAGGTCCCTCCAAGGTCCCTTCCAACTTTATTATTATTGTTGATAAGCTGATAATTATGCTGATTGGCTGTATGAAATTCTGAGCATTTTGAAGACCTTTGACCCTTGTCTCAGTTATAGATGCTGCTGTTTTCATTGCCAGTCCCAGCTGCGTCTGTTCCTAACATGTCAAAGTCCTCATTTCCTGCACCAGGAAGATTGTTTCCTTTCCCACACCCTCTCAGTATCACCAGCCAATGAGAAAAACATCCACTGAACAAAGTACTAGCTATGGTTTGGAGAGAAAACTAGATTGCCCCCAACAAAATAATCATGGGCTGGCAGAAAAACATTCTTAAGTTTTGGAGTCGGTCAGTAGTATATATGCCTTTTCAAGGAAAAGCTCTCAACTGTTAACAGATACAAAATAATTAAAGGTTTGACTTTTTTCACTTAATATGTAGTTTCAAGTAAATGGTTCTGGACACCTGCATGTAAGATTACCAAATTTCATTTTTAATGTGTGCCAATGTGCCCACGGTAAAAAAATGACAATAAAGTTTATCTATCCACTTATGTTGCCTCCAAATTTTGAAATTCAGATTTGATGCAATGAGATAACTATAGAGAGTGCTCTATAGTCTATAAACACCCAATGCTGTGGCTGTTGGTTGTTTTTTTTTTAATAAAGTAGGCATTATCTGAGGCTTGATACGCTCATTTAAACACATCTCTTCAGCAGTATAATTTTAGGCGGCTGCAACAATGGGGCTAAGGGATATTTGCATTTCATTTAAGGGAACATAGCTCTTCGTCCTCCTGTAAGATTGCTAAAATGTGAGCTTATCAGTGATAAACAACAGGGTCATATAACACATTAAGCAAGATAACATTGTGAAATAAGTAATCATCAGTTTAATTATTACCACCCCCATATGCTAATCTCAGCCTGTCATCAAAAATATCTTTAAAAATTTTCTTTCCCTGCAGGCTGGATCATGTAATAATTCATGTTGGAACACTGAGCTTACCTGAATCAAAGGATCTGGTGAGTGCATCTGTGCACTTTTCTTTTTTCTTTTTTGCCGTGCTTTGATTTTTGCAAAGCAGAATACTGAAGGCAAGGAGAAAACTTTTCCAACTAGGAGGAATTATTCCCAAATATGGTCTGAAGATAAAAAAAAAAAATGGGGGGGAGCTAATTTCATTATCGCCATAGGTGTTGGCCTTCCCAGGTAAAACCAGGCAGGAAACATGATTAGATGAACTAGTTCTACTTAAGGCTTCATTAACAGAATTTTGCAAGTTTAAAGGTACAGTACTCCCCTACCACTTTTAACTGCCTCATTGATCAGGGTGGGTTCTTCCTAAATTTCTTCTTCTGACTGTTAAGCCACTGGAGACCTTATACAGTTTCACATCAGCAAACCCTATTGCCATATTAGCTGCTTAGTACTTCTCATTTTCAGAATTATTTATTTAATAATAGTCATATAAATATATCTTTTCGTTTCATTTCCTTTCTTCGTTTTCAGGCCAAGCATGCAGCCCAGATAGGAGCGGATGGCATATCTGTCATTTCCCCTTTTTTCTTCAAAGAGGTGAATAAAGGTGAATAGATCATTACATTTCACTGAATTGTTTTCCCACCTGTCAGCCACTTCCTAAGCAGGTTTCACAAATGCATAAATGTGTAAATTAAAATAAAGATGGGCCATCTTTTGGTTAGAGGTTTGGGGTGATATTAAAGATTCTGCTAATGTTTTGAATTGAAAACTGCACCATCATTCAGAGGAAGGTCTAAGCTCTGCAGAGAAAGCTTTTTTGGGGGGTGTCATAAGCTGCTCACAGCTGTGATAAAATATTGGAAATGGTGGCAGTTTTTGCAAAACCAGCTCTTTAGCTGACTGCTGTTTCTAGCCTATAATTTTCCCTCCAGATTCCTCAAAATGCACACAGTGATTGCGATTTGACCCTTCCTTGTCAAATGGTTTTTGACTTTTGGCCAAGTCTCTTAATGAGAGAGGTACCAGTCCCGATTACTGTTGTTAAGAGAGGAATATCTGTGTTCCATTTTGAAAAATTATAGAGTATGCCCAGGTTTGATCATGGATTGGTAATATGAAAAAGACTTTACCTTTTAAGTTAGCCTTTTCCAACTTGTGTCCGAGGGCAATTAAGATTTCAGTTCCTAGAACTCATAGTCAAGGCATTAGAAGATCAAATTTATTTCACGGCGGATGTAATGGTCAGGTCCCAAATTAAAAACAGTCAGGAAAAGGTTTTTAAACAGCCAGCTACATGCTCCTTTTTATCAGTAAAAATACCTTGCCAGGTCATTGGAAGGCCACTAGAAAGAAGCTAGAGAAGACTCCTGTGTAATAAGTTGGGAATAAATCTCTAAATGGAAAATAGTTCAGTTGCTGAAATTCTTACAACTCTATCCCTTTCATTTTAAACTGGCTAAAGAGGACTCTATGAGAATCTTGCTTGGAAAGAATTACTTTTTGTTTCAGGCATCTAAAGATCCTGGCAATGTATGAACATTCAAGGAAAAGTTGAAACTTCTTCTGTTCTTATTCATCCGAGACGCATGCCTGAATATTTACAAGCAGTGAAGACACATTTGGTTTAATTCATGGGTGTCCAACCTTTTGGCTTGCCTGGGCCACATTGAGTGAAGAGGAATTGTCTTGGGCTATATATATAATATGTAATATATAGGTAGTTCTCAACTTACAACCATTCGTTTGATGGCTGTTTGAAGTTATAATGGCACTGAAAAAAATGACTTAGGGCCATTTTTCACACTTAGGACTGTTGCAGCATTCCTGTGGTCACGGGATCAAAATCTGGATGCTTGGCAATTGGTTCATATTTATGACTGGGGTCATGGGATCACCTTTTGCAACCTTCTGACAAGCAAAGTCAATGAGGAAGCCGCATTCACTTAATAACCGTGTTATTAACTTAATTGCAGAGATTCATTTAACAACTGTGGCAAAAAAGGTTGTAAAATGGAAAGAAACTCACTTAATAACTGTCTCACTTAGCAACAGAAATTTTGGACTCAGTTGTGGTTTGAAGTCGAGGACTACTACCTGTAGTTTTATAATATAAAATCATATAATAATGTTAAAAGTTTATGATCTTGTGGGGTTGCATTACTAGCTGTCCAGAACCTCATGGGCCCTGTGTGCAGTGGGTTGGACATGCCTGGTCAAATGGTTAAAGTAACAGCCTAGAAGCCAAGAGGCTGTGAGTTCTAGTCAGACCTTAGCATGGAAGTTGGCTGCATGACTTTGGTCCAGTCACTCAGTCTCTCTGCCCATGACATCAGGCTCAAGTGACAAGCCGGTTAGTCAGTTCCTGTCACAAGTAATGGATCAACATTTGATCTAAAAAAAGCACACCCTGCACTTGTGGGAAAAGGCTAAGAAGAAGCTAAAAAGTGAACATATGTGTTCAGAGGCTAAAATCTTCGCTTTTGACAACCCAGTGCCCTCCAAAAGGTCTAGACTGTGGTTCCATCCATTTTTTTCTAGCATAGCCATTGACAGTTCTGCCTGGATAATGATAAAATAACCAAAATGTGTAAAGTTGAAGAATGCTGTCCTAGATGAAAGCCCAAAGGAATGCTTTTCCTTTTGCTTACCCTGTTTTAGTTATATATTTACAATTAATCCATGTTCCACATTGCTCCCTTGTCCTGCTTTAGATGAATTGGTTGCCTTCTTCCGGGACGTTGCATCTGAAGCTCCTAATATCCCATTTTATTATTATCACATTCCTCCTATCACTGGCATTAAAAGTAAGTGCTACAAATGTAGAAATCCAGTTTATTTCAAGATAACTTTAGTTATAAGCAGCTCTATTTTATTTATTCAGTTTACATTTTAAATTTCTGTAATTCATTTTCACTATCTTAAATTTTTAAATCATGTCTAAGTAATGTTCCTTTAAGGCTGCTATTCCATGCTTGTTTTCTTCCAAGGAAATTTTCTTGAACAGAGTGGAATTGATTTATTGGTGAAATTAGAGAATAAGGCACTTCACAATAATGTAGTACAGGTAGTCCTCGACTTAAAACAGTTCATTTAGTGACTGTTCAAAGTTACAATGGCAGTGAAAAAAGTGACTTATGACTGTTTTTCACACTTATGACCATTGCGGCATCCCCATGGTCACATTGACTCATATTTATGACTGTTGCCGTGTCCCAGGATCATGTGATCATCTTTTGTGACTTTCTGACAAGCAAAATCAACGGGGAAGCCAGATTTAACAACTGTATCACAAATTGAACAACTGCAGAGATTCAACTATGGCAAGAAAGTTCGTAAAATGGGACAAAATTTACTTAACAAATGTCTCCCTTCAAAACAGAAATTTTGGGCTCAATAGTGGTCGTACGTCAAGGACTACCAATAGGTCAGACCCAAATATCTTAATTGGGAGTGGTTTTAAAAAAATATCTGGAAGATGCCACATTGCAAAAAGTTGCTCTAGGAAAAGCTTCCCACTTTTAATAACCATTCTTGGCTTTGTTGAGTAGAATTGCAACACAGTATACATGTTTCATAAACAAATAAGTTTAGTTTATTATTGCAATGATGCAACAGTAATGATGACTCTTGCTTGATCAGATTTGAAAACTTTGTTTACTGTGAATCTCTTTTTGTACAGTTCGTGCTGAAGAATTATTAGATGGTATGAAAGAACAGATTCCTACCTTTAAGGGGGTGAAGTTCAGTGACAGAGACCTCCTGGATTTGAGGCAATGTATGCAAAAAAGTGAACAAGACAGTTTTATGTTTCTGTATGGTGTGGATGAGGTAAGGGTTGTATATAGAAAATTGTTAGCTATAGTAGACATAAGATGGCTTCCTCTGAAAACATAACTAAATAGAGTTTTGGATGTCCTCTCTGAGGACATCCCAAAAAAACCTGATAAATATTCCTAGTGCTTTCCTTGAGCAAAATAAGATATATTTTAACTAAGTTGTATGCTCTACATGGCCACAGTCCTAGTCTTTCACTGGTTTGGGTGTAAAAGCTGTTGAGTGGAACAATAAACAGAATGGAAAATCAATAGAAGGAGGGAATGAGTAGCTGGATGGGCTGGCCAAGGAAATAGGAGACATGGGTGGCAAATGCTTGCCATCTTGCCAGAGGATCTCTATATGTCAAAAACGGCTTGACTTATATTGTTGAATGGTGTAGAACTGTCAGTTTCAACTGGTTTTACTGGAACACTTCAGTTGGCTCCAGTGATGTGTAAATAAAACCTACCATTTTTCTTTCTTACTAAGTAGCAACTCCTGAGTTCACTGGTGATAGGAGCAAATGGGGCAGTTGGAAGGTAAGTTGTCTTTTGTACATGACTGAAAGACCTTTATGAATTGGATGCTGTATCTTCTGTAGAACAGTTTTTCCCTCCCAAATGAATGCTTATTAAGGTGAGCTTGAACTGTGACTACTTAAAACTTCCTAGCTAACTTTATTCTAATTACCAGCCAGCATTTTCCCCCCAGATCTTTTGAGACTGAAACTAAAAAGCACTCATCTTGAGAACTCTATTCTCAGAATTGTTTAGTCCTTAAGAATTAAATGTTAAGAAAAATTCTTGTGAGTCCTATTAGACAAACCCCAAGTCTTATTACAATTCTGATACATTTAAGGGCCAATTAATACAACTGGTGGTGAATAATATTGCGTTGGTGTAATAAATAATATGAGATGGCATATGAATTATTACTTATCACTGAGACATATGTATAAATGTGAGAACTAGCTTAAAGTTAGTTATACTTTTGTACAGTATCTTTAACAAAAGTTAAAACATTAACTTTTGAAGCCTAAGCTATTCAGGCAGGGTTTGAAGCACTCAAGAGCCAATCGTCTGTCTCCTGAATATTTCCGTTTGTACACATTCATTTTTCACATGCAGATGCTAAAACCTATAAACAGAATCCCTAGTTTCTCTACCAGTGAGTGTTGGTAGTTTGTGGTATACCTATCGTTTGGGTCATGTCGACAATGTAGGGGGCAAAAATGTGATTTAGGTGGAATTGCATAACTGCATAGCACTTAACCATGCTGGTAATTTTTAGATAATTTTCACACTCAGAATTACCCCCTTCTCTGTAAGAAAAGACAATACTTTTAATTTGAGCCATTCTACATTAGATTCTGAGTTAAAACATACATGGAGAACTCATTGCTCATCTCTTCTGTAGTTTAAATTGGATCATTTAACTTGTAATTGAAATGTGAATATCTCTGTTCCTTTTGTATACCTGCACAAATGTCACAGGAGTCCATTGGACAAATATCTATGCTATTAGTGACTCGTTGTCCTGTCCTAGCTGAAGAACCTCTTTTCCTTTATCTGCTTCCCTATGTGTGAAGCCAGTTGTAATGTTTTAAATACACAAATAACAAGACTTTCCTCCTCTCTCCCCCATCTCCAGTACATGTATCACTACTTATGAATTTGATAATTTCCTTTTCATAATTCTGTTCCTGGTTTTTGAAGTGCTTCACTCTGGAATGTGCATCATACACAATTTTTAAAATTTGGAAAAAAGTGCTTTCCCAATCTCCAATGTGAATGAAGCAGTGTGCCATTGAAATTGGTTTGGGGCTTGGAAGGAATATTTCTTTTAAAAAGGAAGGTTGAGGAATCATACTTTTGCTGGTATGGAAAGGTGCTAAGCAAAGGATTCCAGATTTTCTAATAATTCCATGAAAACTGACTTCTGATAATTTTTGAAATCTGATATCCTCCATACAGTTGCATATCCAGCTTCTGCACTGGAATAATACTGCTGCACTGTTTGCTCTAATTGCAATTGCAGATAGTTCTCGCCCAATGTCCATTCAGGCAGTAACCATTTAAAGTTTTGACAGGGTTGAAGGACAGGACTTCCAGCCAATCCTCCAGGTTCCAGCCATGCAGTACTCCTGTAGGCACACAAACCAAATTAGATCCCAGGTGGACCCATCCACATTTATGACCACCTTTTGACTGACTGCCTACCTGCTGTCCCCATGGCCTGATCCTGCTACATCTCCTGCACTGTGCACCATTATTGTGCTGTCCAGGTCCTTCTTGTGACTTTTCTTGTGCCTTGCCAGGACTTCCATTTGCACTCTAATCAGGGCTTTTTTTCATGAAAGAAGCTTGGCATGTGAAAGAAGGCCCTAGCTGCCCTGGCACAAAAGGAGAACACAACCTTCCTTCATACTCTAGTCTAGGCTTCTTTTGTGAAAAAAGACCTGGGTGGGGCACAAAGGGAGGTCCTGGGCACAGTGCAAGAGAAGCCAAGGCTATCTGCACCAGTGTAAAAAAAAAAGCAGCATGAAAGAAGCCCCCAGCCAGTACAATAGTGATGTCTGATGCAGCAGGCAGAGCTGGCAGGAGTCAAAGGTGGTAGCAGGTAAGTGGGAGGCAGATGGGTGGAGTTCAAGAGTTGGCAGAGGAGGCAGTCCCTTACCTTACCAAGACTTGGGGCTGTAAGGGACCAAGCTGAGAAAATGGCTTGGAACAGGGTAGATCCTCACCTAATAGTCAGTGGGATTTAATTAACAACAGCAGTGGACTGCTGGGATTATGGTCACTAAGCATGCAGTCATGTTATGTTGCCTTTTATGACCACAACACTTAGCAATGGAAATTCTGGTCCCAAATACTGTTGTTAACCAACGACTACTTGTTTTATGTAGACAAGTCTTGAATGCTTTAATTTACTTTTTCATTGTTTGTATCCCTGTTTCTTTTTCTTTTTTAACAGTACATATAACTACCTGGGCAGGATACATAACTTACTACTTGAAGCTTTTGCCTCTGGAGATTTGTATTCAGCACAAAAATATGAGGTATGATGTTTCTGGCTGAAAAGTAAGTCAAAGTCAAATTCAGCCTCTGATGAATTACATGGACCCATTCGTGTTACTTTTTGTTTAGCATTATGTAAGTGGTTTGCCACTGCTGCCTTCTGGATTTTTGTTGTTACTTTTCACTCTAGCTTAGAGACTGAGTTTTCCAGTTGATTTCCTACCTAAGTAATAAACTTAGCAGCATCTTTTTTCAAGATCAATTAGATCCTAACGTGTGTGTATTCTAACATGTGTGTATACATATATATATACACATATATACATATACATACATACATACATACATACATACATACATATATATATATATAGAGAGAGAGAGAGAGAGAGAGAGGAGAGAATGTCTGACTAAAGCCAATTGCAAGTTGCTTGTTTGCTATAATTACCACTGGGAGTCGGGCATCATGTAAATTTAGTAAATTAAACTAAATTAAAAATTAATCCGTAGCATGTACATGAAAGTAGTATGAAATTGAAAGTGTGGAATTGATTCAGAAATATTATACAGATTAGAAGAGAGTGGAACAGTGTTTGGATGAATTAATAGAGATAGAAATGACAACACAAAGCAACAGATTTCAAGCATTCTTAAACAATTTCTTAAACAAATTAGATTACCACTGATGGGGACATATCAGGTTGTGATCCATAAGAGGTCTGGATCTGAAAAGAAAAATGTTCTAAAATATCCCCTTTCTCATTTATAGAAATCAGAGTGAAATGATATAATAGAATGTAATTCCTTTGGCTCCATTAGTTCTCTGAGATCCAATTGCCTGAAGTGAATATTAAAACAATTGAAATGTTGTTTGTGTAATGATAGCATGCTCATGTAGATCATTAACCCTCTGCTATTGCTTTCTGAAATAACAGGTCCAAACAGGAAGTAAAGTGCAACATAATGATTATATGCTCATTATCCTCCCCAGAAGGCTTTTATGACTAATAGCCTCAAAAGCAACTGAAAACTCCAGAATTAACAGTCATATTCACTCTGGATAAGGTCATTTAGAAGTTGATGCCGTCAGTGTTCTTATATTCTCATCATTCATAGTGGCCAACAAGGACAAGAGAGAAACAGTCCTTTCCCTTTTGTGCTCCTGGTTAACACCTTATTCTCCATCAATTTTTTAAAGTAATTTTGACAACTTCCAAGTTGGCAGCTATTACTATGATAAGAAATATCATAGTAATGACTATAGAATTCAGTGAAGAAATTATATAGGAAGTAACTCAATCCAATTGCTTGTTACAAAGGAATATATGTAATGTAAGTAACCTTTAGCTATTACAATAGTTGCTTCAGAAATCTTTTTCCTGATTGTTTCCATCAAGACAATTGAGACAGATCCACAGCTGTCTATTGGATTTGAATATAATACTGAATGCATTAGATGAATAATAATACTTTGTTTCTCTTAGTTCTGTATTCAGGAGTTCCTCGGCTTTCTCATTTCACTCGGTAAGTACTTCAGTAATTTAATCCATTTGGCTCTGCTAAATAGTTTCCTAACATGGACTGAATGCTTCTCAGTTTTCCCTAAATTAGTTTCCATCTCCTAGAAGTTCAGTTCTGTAGAATTCCATTCAACCATGTTTCATTCGTTTCTTTTATAAATTGCCCTTCATATTTTCTTCTACAGGTAGTCCTTTCTTAATGGTAATTGGGCCTGGCAACTCCAATGTTAAGCAATGCAGTCTTAAAATGTAATATCGCGTAACAGTGCTGCTTAGCAACAGCAATTCCAGCAGTCCCAATTATTGCTGTAAAGCAAATCACTACACTGTTAAGCAAGGACCTCATGTGACCAAGTCTTTTGACTTCCTGCTGGCTTCCCCATTGACTTTGCTTATGGGAAGCTGACAAGGGAAGATCACAAATCGCAATCATAAGACTGTGGGGCATTGTAAAGGTTAGAAATCTGGGCTGGTTGCTGAGGCCCAGATCAGGATCAGATGACTGCTGTGATGGCTGGAACTTCTAGGAATGGTTACAAGTACCATATAGTCAGCACTGTCATAAGTTTAAAGTCACTGAATGAGTGGTCATTAATCAAGAGGCACTGTATTTCTTGATTTCCTGTTTTCTATTTATTCAGACTCTCCTTTTCCTGTTTCCTTTTTTTTTTTTTTGATTGTGCAGCTATTGCAATCTGAAGCAGGTGCAACTGTCAACTGATCCTTAAAGAAGCCATATGCTTTGTTAGGATCACATAGTAGCCATTCATTTCCAGGAATTAAGGAGGCAGTAAAGACAAAGTTATACTTGTTCCCACCTCCTTAACTCTAACCCAGCTCCTTCTTTAGGAGCCACTAATGGGGCAATGATTACACCCATCCCAGTTTTGAAATATCTCTTATACTTTGAATCTGAATCCCTACCTTTCTCATTTTAGTTTGGGTACTCCTTGACCTACAACCATTCATTCAGTGACCAAACTTAACATCAGCACTGAATGAATGGTGGTTACAACCAGAGTTCTGGCCATCCCGGTACCCCCACAGTCACGTGATTGTGATTGGTTACTTACACTGCAGCTTACGACTGCTTGTGATCGCTATCTGCAACCTTCCTTGCTAACTTCCCTACAAAGCTAGCAGGGAAGGTCACAAGTTACTAGGTTAAGTGTCTCCCACTGTGCACCTTCCCTAGTCTCTGTATGCCTGAATCACGCCAGCCTCATACTCTCCCCCGCAACCTCCCTGACCTTCACTGCACCTCCTCCCTTGCACTCTTGCACAATTCCGCACACTCTCCACAACCCTTATTGCACCGCCCTCATGTACCCTCCCCAACACAGACTGCACCTTTCATGCACCCTCTCTGATCCATGCAATGTCTCTCATGCATCCCTTCACGGACCCTCCCCAACCTGCACTGACCCACCATTCTCTCACTTCCCCCTCTGGCAGAAGCGATTTACCTGCCTGCTGGCCTGAAAGCTTGCAGCTTTCTGTCAGCTTCCCCACCTGACTTTGGTCATGAGACGCCTGCGGGAAGTTGCCTCGCCTAGCAACTGGGTGATTTGGTTAACAAAAGCAACCAGAGTTGCAAGGATTGCCATTGCTAAGCAACGTGGTTGCGCTTTATGGCTGCATTGCTTAGCAATGGAAATTCCAGTCCTACTTGCAATCGTAAGTCAAGGACTACCTGTATTACATTAACACATCACTTAAAAACTATCAGTAGATATGCTATAGTATGTTAACTGAATGATTTTTGCACTTTGGGCAGGCTTTGGTGTTCCACACATCAAAGCGGTCATGACAATATTTTCCGGGATCCCGATGGGCCCACCACGACTTCCACTTTCACCTGTCTCTGACGACTTCATCATTAAAGTAAAAACCAAGCTGGAAAGCCTGAAGAACTGCCTCTTTGGTTCAGTTTAAACCTCACTGTGGTCTTAAAAGAATAGTCCACATAATTTGGTAAACTTGAAATGTAGTATTTGAAATACATGCAGATTGCACCATTTTCATGAAGTTTCATGAATCTGGCATGGACTACTTCTTATCCAGAATGATCTGGCCTTGTTTGTGTGGAAGATGATAACTGCGTTTAGTCTGCCAATACTGTGAAGTTTTCCAGGGGAAAGAAACTAACTTTGAAATAGGAGGATCTCGTTTCCAACAAATAAAGAAATCTTGTCTCCTGAAATTCTTCTGCAACATTAGAGAGCATGGCACAATTTAACCAACTGATTTATTTCTTATTACTTTCATATCCTGAAGCAATATGAATAATAATGTAGTGCTTAAAGCACTGCATTTATAGAACCCAAACTCTGGAAATCTTTTACATTTACTCTTGAAATGTGCATACTGTTGAAAACTTGAAATAGGAACATGTCCAACTGGAATAACAAATTGTAATTAACAAGTGTTTTCTAGCTTTTTTTTTAAGCGCCATTTTTTCAAATAATGAAAGAGTAACAAAAAAGGAATAAAGCTAATTATACACTCCTTGCCTGGATGGCCAAACAACAAAGTGTTATTTAAAAAAGAAATAACCTGGGATTTCATCTCAGCTTATCTAGGATACATGCATTCATTTTTACAAAGAAGTAAATCATGAAATGAAACTTATTATCACCATGATGTTTTGAGCCTTATGTTTTTGTTTACTACCAAGTTTTCAACCATAGGCAGCCTATGAAATGAGTATTAGCCTCAAAGTATATTATAATATTGCAGGAAAGGATTGTTATACTAGCCTTGGATGACACTGTTTTGATGTGAAAATGAGTAAAGCAGGCATTTTCTTGATCAAATTGAAATTCTAACTACAGTATTACTAGGGTCAGGAATGATAAAGGAGACTACACATCATGGAATGAAATTCCTCCCCACCTGATAATATCCTGTTAAACTAACTCATCACCAAGCTACCAAATCTATCTTAATTGATTATGGGAGTTGTAGTTCAAATAAATGGATGAAACAGAAGCAGATACTGTCATTTTTTTGACCAAACCGCTATCTAGAAACAGTGTACTGCAAGAGGTAGTAAGATCTTAAATTTAAAACAACACTCAGTGAAACTAACTTATATTTTTTAACCCATGCTATTATTAGCAGATTTTCCCTTTTGCTGGTCAATAGGAAAAATGGAAGTTCTTTACAAATAATGATAATGTGTCAAATACATCCTGACCATTACATGTTTAGCATACAGGTATTTCTTGGATTCCGACAGCAATTGAGATTAAGATTTTGTACCCCTGAAAATGTATCTTAAAATGTGTTGAACATCTTGCCTGTTGCATTAGAAGATGGGCAAGATATTCTTCATGGGAAATTGTTCAACCCTGTATTTCTTTTTTTAATTCTTTCTGTTATAATTCATCAGTTTTTGGGCTTGTAGTAAACAAGGAACTTCAAAATCCAATCATATTCTTTATTTATATCTTAATTATGTGCTTCCAAGTAGGGGTTTAATGAATAATTGCCCACCAAACATTTATACTTGCTTTTTTCTCCATATCACTACCATTAATTTGCTTACTGGCAAAATTCCATGTGAGAAAGGTTTCATGATGCCTTTGATAGTTACAAGTAGGAGTCCTCTGCCTAGAAATATTATTACTGTCTGAGCCATACACTTGAATTGATTGAGTAGGTGCACTTTCAAAGCTAATATCAAATGTATTTCTGCTTCTGTTAATACATATGGAAATATGTTAAAGGTTGGCAGAACAAAGGAAAATAAAGGAGAAACCACTGATTGTTTGATGCAGCTGGTTGCCTGCTGATGACTGATTGCTAAGTACTGCTACTTGTTTCCTGAATGCTATTAATTGAGTAAAGATTGTTTCCCAACTGACTATGCAATGTGTCCAATTAGAGTATTGCTTTTGATTATCATGTTGAGGTAGCTGGGAAGTAATTGTTCTATTTTACTCTGCCCTGGTCAGATCCTTTGGAGTACTCTACACTCAGACTTTAGAGCAAGTCCAGAGGGGGTTACTGAAATGATGAAGGATCTGGAAACCAAACTCTTCGAGGAATAGTTAAATGATTGGACTACAGGAAAGACAAGTGAAGGGAACATATAATAGTGTCTTCAAATACTTGAAGAAGGTGGGTTGGTTTATTTTTTATTGACCCAAGGGGCAGAACAGATCCAGTGCCAGGCCAAAGATAAAGAGGAATTTCTGTATGACCAGAGCAGGCTGCTTTATGAAGTGGAGTTCTCCTACAGTGGAGTTCTTCAAACAGAAGCTTAGATGGTCACCTGTCAGAGATATCTAATAGATCAGGGGTGTCAAACAGCCAGCCCGCAGGCTGGTTGCATCATACGGAGGCCACACCCACCCCAGCTCCAGCAATGCAAAAAAAGTCGCAATACGTCGCAACATGTCACGTGACGCGGCGAGTTTGACATCTGTGTAATAGATCCTGCAGCAAAGTGAATGAGTGTCCTTTCAATTGTGATTCTATGAACATTCTCAGAAAGTGGTGGTTGTGATTTAGTATGCATGAAAAAATGCACAGAAATGCATTTACGAGGACATGAAATTAATCAAGATTGATTTATTGTATTGGATTTAAAGGCTGTCCAATTCCCTGATGGCTTTGGCTTAAAGTAGAAAACAATAAGAGAAACGAGACATGCATGAAAACAAGCCCAACACCAGAACAAGAAAACCAATAGATCGTGACAGCCACCCAAATACCAGGCCTGGGAGTGAAGTCACTTTTTGAAGATTTTTTTTGAACAACTTCAAGTTGGGAGCCATAGGAATCTCCAGAAGATGCTACTCTAGAGGGCAGGTATTAAAACAGTTAGGGTAGGTTTTCCAGATCCCAATGAAGGGACCTAGAGAATGCCCATTCTGCCCTATCTTACTGGGTAGGCAGAAATTACTGGAAATTGCAGTCCTTCAAATAACCAGGCCCTATGGTAGGGGTAGGCAATCTTGACTCTTTTATGACTTGTGGACTTCAATACCCAGAATTCCTGAACCAGCCATGCTGACTCTGGAATTCTGGGAGTTGAAGTCCACAAGTCATAAAAGAGGTAAGGTTGCCAACCCCTGCCCTATGGCATAAAGGGCTTGAATTGTACCTGGAAACCAACTTGCAACCAAAGTAGCTTTTGAATAGCAGTGATACAGGCATATTGTGGCACACTCAACACTGCTGACACCGCTATATTCTGGACTAGCTGTAACTTCTGAGCAGTCGTCAAAGGCAGCCCTATGTAGAACATGTTGCAGCAATTTATTAAGTTGAATAGGGCATGTGATTTGTTTTGAAGCCCCCCTCTCCCCCATTCTAGTGAACACCACAGCTGATACATAAAATGGACCTGCACAAAGTTGCTCCTGGTCATACCTGCTATTCAAGCAGGAGTTGTAAGTTCAGGATGTTCTCATAACTCTGTCTAACTTTCCAAGATGTTTCTACTATCTTTCAAACCTCCACCCCCAAGCAACGAGTATAGTTCAATATTACAGATTCCTACAACTGTCTTCGATTTTACTGCCTACGTATGCTTCTGGGGTATAGATAAGCACAAAGAAATGTATTCCTAGAAAGGCAGATTATGCTTGAGCAGGTATTTTGTTTTGTAATATGTTAACATTCCACTTTTTAAAAACTAAGATTCTTTTTAACAACAGCAATGAACATATTGGGTGCCCAAGGAGTGTTTATTGCATATGTTAGTATTTCTGGATACCACCGACGGACCAAACCTAACATTTTGGATTAGAATTGTGATTCTGATGAAAAGTGACTTTTCCGGTTTTCACAAGTTAAGTGGACTTGTAAATATATGTAACCATATATTTGTTCCAGTTTGTTGAATAGGATATCGTTTGCACCCAGAGAAATTAAGTGAAAAGACCAGACTAGCATCTGTTAAATTTTACAGAGCATCATAGCATTCATTGTTACCTACATTCCCTAGCTCAAACTGTGGCAGTGTATCATCATTGAATTACAGCCAACCCTAGACAGTGCTTATTTAATTTCATGGGCTTTCATTTGTTTGCTCTTTTATATCTTGCAACATATAAAATGTTACTCATCAATCACAACTGATGCAGATGATTTAATTAATCAATTTTGACATATCCTCTCAACTAATAATTTTCTAACATACCCCTGGAGAAGGTATATCTGTGTGGTCATTAAAAATCAACTCAGAACATTCTGCAGGGACCACAACTCCACAACACAGTCCTTTCAGCAGTTCCAAGAAGGCTCCATACCCATTTGCACTATTCAGGTGACTCTGAGGAAACAGACAAATTTCCAAGTGGTCTCAATGACTCTCTAAAAGAATGCAAATGACCAGTGGTCTGCAAGGAATACAAATCCTTCCATTCCTCACCATCCAGTCAGAGCTGAAGAAGCTTCTTGGATGAGAAGCAAAACTTCTTCAAAGAAAAACAAGGAAGTCCAGTTGCTTTTTGAAAAAACACCTTTGGAACAACCATGATGACCTGGATGACTGAGAATCTCTATAGACATTCTGACCTGATGGCACTTCGATTGATCAATCCTCCATAAAAGCAGAGCTTGTTCATTGATACATATTTTTCTAATTTGGCAAGGTTCTCTGCTTTCAAAATGTTTAAGAGAGCACTTTGTTATGAAAATGTAAAATCTTGGGTGAAATGCACTTGAAAACAAGTCTACAGCAGATTTGAATGATGATATTCTCTTAAGAGGAGAAATTTCCACAAGAGGGCTCCAATATAAAGCTGAATTAAACCAATAATTATATCTGAGCTTGAGCAAAGTCAATAGAACTCTATACCCTTGCAGGAGATTAATTTATCAACAGGAGGATTTTATGTTGCCACTTAAAATAATCACCATGCTGCTTTTATATACATATAACCTTATACTGCACCCTCAGCTTTTCACTAAGTTACTTCTATGGTTCTCACTCCCCAACCTGCAATCATGCATGGAGCAATACTTCATGAACCTGTGAAATAATCCTTGATCCGTAAGCCCTTACTGTTCTTTTAAGGTGCCACAAGTATTGTGTCGGCTAAGTCAAATGAGTTCCTTTCTGTAGATTCCCGCTTGAAGAATACAATATTGTCAATAGGGCTTCTATGATGATATCTTAGCATGTTATCTATCATCATCTGGTCCCCAAGGACGAGTTCTATAAGCTTTTTCTCATCGTTTATATTTTTATGTAATTTCCATGAACGAATATATTACACCAGGGGTAGTCAACCTTGGCTCTTTTATGACTCGTGGACTTCAACTCCCAGAATTCCTGAGCCAGTCAAGCTGGCTCAGGAATTCTGGGAATTGAAGTCCACGAGTCATAAAAGAGCCAAGGTTGACTACCCCTGTATTACACAATTCCCATTCAGAAAGCCTATACACGCCGTTCCCCTATCATATCTTACAATTCTATGTCTTGCCACAGGAGGCGCTTTACTCATCGTACTTCTGCAGAGACATTCTTCGAAACTAGGCCGTTAATTGTGCAGTTTTGCTCTGCGCAAGCGTAAAGCCGCCGCCATCTTGAGGATGTGCTGAGAACGGGAGTCTGCGAGAAGGGCCTGAGTGGAGTGGAAGGCCTCCCGTGCTGTCTCGCTTTGCTCGAGACGAAGTTTTCCGTATCAGGCCAGACTAGGTTGTGTCTAATTTTTTTAAAAAATAACTTATACATATGTATTTTTGCGCAATGAGGCCTTTGGTTTCCGGATATAAAATTTGGGGAAGGAGTGCGCAGACGCGACGAACGCGAGTAGAATCCGCATGTGCAGAGGGAAGAGAGAAAAAGGTTAACGGCGAAGAGCATGCGCAGTAGAGCTGCTTAGTTTAGAGGGAAACGCAGCCCTTTTTCCATAGAGGTGGCAATAACAGCGGCCCCTCTTCAGATGCATTAGGTTACAGCTTGCATTGTGCGTGGTAGTGTCAGACTGCTTTGGATTGTTCAGCATCTCTGAAGTTGGGTGGGAAGGGGTCAGTTGATCCACTGATCTCATTTGCTGCATTAAAAAAAGAACAAGCCTACCTAGGATTTCACTACAAGGTGCGCACCTCCATTCGATTGAGCACAAGATTTGAGTTAAGCAAATAGATGGAATAGAGAATCCAGTTATTTTAACTGGAATAGGAAAATTCTGTTTTCCTGAATTTGCAGAGACCCTTTCCTAGTATCTGAATTAGCAGCTAACAAACCAGTGGAAAATGGGCTTGTCGGGTGGCTTTTAATGGCTCCATTGTTCCCTTCCAAAATTGTTTTCTGATGTAAAGGTGAGCTATAGGGTGGTAGAGATATTTGTTGGTATCACTTTAGCTCTGTTGGTGACATAGGAAAATATATGATTAATAAATAATACATTTAAGAACCAGAAGGCTATGATTTCCTGTATTTACTTTTACTTGAAATTGAATGTGTATGCATGTTTCCATTCCATTCCATTGGTGAGAAGGTTTGTCTCTGTACAAATACATTGGCAGTCTAATGCTTTCTACTTTTACTCCATAGGTTACATCTTCCTCAGGCTGCTTCTGCCATGGGGGATGTGAAGAATTTCTTATATGCTTGGTGTGGCAAGCGAAAAATCACCATTGCTTATGAGATCCGTGCTGTGGGCAACAAGAACAGGCAGAAGTTTGTCTGTGAGGTGAGCATTTAATGACTGCCCAGAATAATTATTCACCAGCTCCCTTCACAAAGATTAATCTAAACTTTCTAAACTTGTATTACATAGAGAGCTACAATATTTGCCTTAGCTAGAAATAGAGGGAGAAAGACTTAGAAATGAAGTGTATTTAGATATCCGTACAAGCCAGTCCAGGTTAAACCCTTGTTATATATATTTCAAGGAGAGTTAAGCATGTGCTTAGCCTTCTTAGTTAAATTAATAATACTAAAAATGATTTACCTACATAAATTATGCCCTTGTTAACTTCATTCAGATTCCATCCCACCTGAAGGTTAAACCTTAAGATGGCTTGCAAAATGAAACAAAAATATCTAAAGTATAATGAAGTGACAGCTAAAACGTTTAAATGAAATAACATCTGATACTTAGAAAAATCTAATTTAGAGGGAAAGTTTATTTTTTATATTTGCGTCATGACTGGAACTTGCTGGAAAGAAAGCAGAGGTAGAGACTTGGGTCATAATGGAAAACAATTAGAACCTGTATTGATCATTTGACTAATCCAAAAAAGTTGGTCATAGAGTGAATTGGGCAAGTGTGCAATTGTTGTTGGGTAAGAGCAGCAGTACATATTGCTACTGATCTCATCTGAATTGCACTTTTCATGTCAAACAGACCATGGAAGCTGCAAATACAAATCCTGCTGTAGGATTTGTTGTATGATTAAGGTTGCTTTAAGAAGACTTGCACTGTTATGTTAATTGCATCTTGTTCTGAACTTTATATAACAAGCATGTATGTTGCTGAAGTTATTTAGCAATATATTTACATATAATAGGTTCGTGTGACAGGCTTCAACTATATTGGTATGGGCAATTCCACCAACAAGAAAGATGCTCAGACTAATGCTGCAAGAGACTTCCTTAATTATCTTGTTCGAGTGAATGAAATCAAAAGTGAAGAAATTCCAGCTTTTGGAGTAAGTTATACTACCACCTGCAGAATATGTGTTATATTTTATCATTTATGGTGATTATGTTGTTGTTTTTTTCACTTTGGACACTATTTTGCTATTTGGGGAGGAGAGGCAGTATAAAGCAGTATTTTTATTAATAACAATACTTGAAACTTTTTTTCAAAATCTGTTTTAAGAGAGACCATATTTGGAAGTCACAATTTTTTCTTTTCTCTCTATAGAACTTGCCTTCTATCCTTCCTTTTAGATACTGAATATTTTGAATTATACAAAATTTATTTTGAAAAGGAAAAAAGACACCACTGGGAGGAAGAATGGCATTTATTCAGAAATATTTTTTCTTTAGAATTCAGTGGAATTTATTCATTATATGTGCATTCAGGATTAGAGGCTGAGATTTCATGAAGCACATTTTGCACCTTTAAAAATGTTAAAAAAAAATTTAATTGCTCAACTTAAAGGCTACATTCTTTCTTAGTAACAGAATTACTGTTACAAATTATACATTACTGCTATACAGTAATTCTTGAGGATGCGTCTGGCTTGAAAATATAGTCTTTAATAGGAGTTCAGATTACACTTTTACAGAGTTTTTGATCATGCTTAGGCAGGAGCAGTGGGTACATCGACTGAAGGTGCCTCTGGAGCAGAAGTTGGAGATGGACCTGACATTCCTTTGGGGGGGCCAGCTCCCCCTCATTTGGCTCTCAAATCAGAACCAGGTAAGTCATTCAACCTCTGCACACTCAATATGTTACCAAACAAATTAAAACTGTGCTTATTAGGCAATGGTAGTTCAGTCCCATCCAACATAATAATTAACTGACTGACTTATTTGCTTTTTTTATTCTTAATCTGGATTCACATGAGAGTTCTTGACAAAATATTTTTTCTGTATTTGAAAAACCTGCGTTTTCCTTCAATAAAATGTTGCTTCACATAGATTCAAATGTCAAATTTTCTGCATTTTTTGTTTTAGTTTATTACATTTATTCGCCACCCCTCTTGCTGTCACACAACTCTGGGCATCTTATAATGCATAAAACTATAGTATAAAAGATTAAAACAGTGAGATAAACAGATTAAAATTAACAAGAATTATTGATGGCTTTAGTTTGAGTTTATATGATATTTCTAAGGTTTATTCATTTTATTTTTAAGTTGTTTATACCCTGCTTTACAGATCTCCAAATATCAGGAAGTATGGTAAACAAAATTTGTAGAAAAAGCTAAAATAATTCTTTTCATTTTTTCCTAATCTAAATTCTTGAAATACTTGTCCTTGGGATTAGAGAAAAGCTGGAATTTCTAATCACAAAAAAAAATCAAACATCTATTTATATTTGGCATTTATTCTTTCACACTTAAAGTAAGTAATTTAAAAAGTTAGAGTTGACCAACTTTAAAAACCTTGTAAATAGAGAGAATGAACCCTCTTTCCCCTTTCCCCAGACCTAAGCTACAATTCCTGTTTGTTCTAATTTATTAGGAGTCATTATGATAAATAAACAAAGATCTTCTTGTTGTCACTGTCCCCACATCTGTTGAATTTGATATAATCACAAATTATAGTCAATCTTGAAAGCTGTTCAGCAAGCAAGTGTCCATTACTGTGTTTACTAATAAGGGTGCTGTATTGTCGCACTTCCAAATGAGGCTTATTAGGACAGGACAAAGACAGATTTGTGAGGTTCAGATATTTATATTAAAATTATCTGCATCACATGTTAATGCTATTAGTAAGCATGTTTTTCCCCTCCCATTGCTAGATGCTGCTGCTATTTCTACTGAAACAACAGTTGGAAATTCTGGCTATGGTGGAGCTCAGTGGGACCGTGGAGCTAACTTGAATGATTATTATTCCCGGAAGGAAGAACAGGAGGTCCAGGCTGTAAGGCTTTTTTTCTTGAAGATTTATTAACCAAGCTCAATTTTTATTATAAAGATTTTGTCTGTTAACAGAGCTATGGTTTTTCTTGTTTAAGTAAAACAAGACAATGATATAAGAGTAACATACTTTAGCACAGATATAATCCTATATTATATATATAATGCTTCATATAATCATGCTAAAATTTTGACATTTTTACTCTTTGATTAACAGATAGTACAAATAATGTTTAGGTTTAATTATTCTTTTGCTATTCAAATTGTAGTAATATATCTGAATTATAGTACAATAATGCTGTACATTCTAGGGAATAAGATTTCAAAGGTTCCTATTGCTATCAGAGTTCTCCAAGGAAGAATATAATTGAGTGTTAAAAGCAAATTAAGAGTGGTGTTTGTAGCAATTTAAAGGCAATTGTTTCTTGCTACTAGACCTTGGAGTCAGAAGAAATTGATTTAAATGCTGGCCTTCATGGAAATTGGACTTTGGAGAATGCTAAAGCCCGTCTGAATCAGTTTTTCCAAAAGGAGAAAATCCAGGGCGAATATAAATACACTCAAGTGGGACCTGATCACAACAGGTTTGGTAGTTTTTCTTCATAAAGCTGATGATGTTATTGAAAAACATTTTAGTTAGTAGCTGGTTGTATGCTCTTCATTTCTAAATGGAGAGATACCTTAATGGTTTTGCAGAATAATTAAAGAAGCATGGGCTGTTCCATTTAAATGGCCTAAATCATGGGTGTCAGACTTGATCACGTCACCTGACGTATCGTGACATAACGTGACTTTTTTGCCTTTGTGGAGCCAGGGTGGGTGTGGCCTGCACATGATGCATCCAGCCCACAGGCCGCAAGTTTGAGACCCCTGGCCTAAATAATCTAACCAATGAGTATTATTTCTTGCCCTCTTTGCTTGAATTTGGAAATAGTTTTCGATTGTTTTGTAGTAAGATTTATAAAATGTACTTAGTTTTGTCTCACAATCTATATAATAAGTCATATGGTATCTTATTAAATTTGAAAAGCAGAAGATCATGGGGAAAATATTTGCTAACATGATATGTGAAAAAAGTTCAGTACCATGCCTGTTTTTAAAATCTGAATTACAATTTGAACAAAAACTCATGGTAGAATGTTACTGGGCTTTTAAAAGAGTAGGGAAGATAAAAATCATTACATGTAGAAAGCTAGTGTATGCATACCAAAACAGAGTTCTAATTTGTATTTGTTTTACATGCCTGATGTTCATTTTAATCCCATTTGTTTGGAGATGCATTTACCTTCGTGTAATCCCGGAAGAGGTTTATAATATAAAGTTGCTTGCCAGTCAAGCCTTGATTTTTGAAGTGCGTTTGACACCTTATTGCTATTGCAAAGATCCTTATAATATTAAAGCTGAAATAGTAAATATATTATTGAGTAAATATATATTAGATTGATAAAGAAATAATTCTCTCTATTTCCTTCAGTTGTCTACCTGTTTCTCTCTGTCCTTCATACATCCAAAATTAACCAAGGTGAAGCTATTCACCTTATAATAACTTTATCAATTTTGGTTTTGTTTTACTTCATCTTGATTTTGTTAGTATCTCAATCATATTTTTTCATGAACATTACTCTGAACAAATCTAGCTAAACATTTGCTTTTACATCTACCTTCTAAAAATGAAATATACAGTTCTCTGAATACTGAACATTTTAACAAGAAAATAGAATTGTACATAGCTTTGGATTCAATATTCAAAAGGGAAAAGAAAGAAGGGGGAAAGCTACCAAGACTTCTAATGCCTTCCTAGTTTGACTCCAACAAATGATAGATGATGCCTGATCTAGTTTGATAAGTAAATTCAGAGTTAGATTCAGTTTTTGAATTGAAACACTTCATGTCATTTTTCTTTCAGCTTCCATAAAAGATAGTTCTTTGTGCAGTTGTTATATACAATCAGGATTATCATATTTATTAATAGTGTTGCTGTATGTTTATCAGCAGTCTGACACTAAGAAATGAATAGCTTTTTCTGACAGTTTGCCCAGAAAAATGCACTTGTCTTAATTTTTTCATAAAATTACCATTTTAGATTTTCTCCTTTATAGCTCTTGAAGTTCTGCCTGTTATGTTCTTTTTTCCAAGTACAAGCTTTATTTAATATTTATTTGGTGAAGATGGAGGCATGGATGACAGTATGTTTCTCGGTCTGTTTGCTGTTTTCCGAAAAGCATTCCAGGGTGTAGAATTTGTTACTCCCAGGAAGGCTTGGATGGATCTCTTGCATCTCTAAAAAAGAAATTTGTGTTAAAAACATCTTCTAAATAAATAAATGAACTTATTATGGGGTATCCAGTTTTTTAGGCATAAATTGGCATAGCTTTAAAAAGAAGAATAATGAATGTAGTGTCAGTTATATCAAACCTGTGTAATTTTATCGGGGACAAAAAGCTCTTAGAAGACAAATTCCCATGGAACTGCAATGTTTAATGTGTCCTGTCAAGTACCATATACCTTTTTTTCCATTTTCTTTTTAAAATAATGATGTGAGGTTTTTGAAATGAGCAAACAGAAATTTTCCAAACCTTCTCTTTCAGTATCTTTCCCAGTAACTGACAGTAGTTGAAATGGGTTCATCTATAAATGGAAGAAAAGTGAAGGGGGTGGTACATTGAAATGGTACATTTAAACAAATCAATTTCTTAATTTGGAAATTAGTAATATTGGAATATTAATATTTCAGTATACTTAAACTTTCAGATCTAATAATTCAGTAGCATTAAACCTTTTCAGCTTCAGAACTTACAACAAAGATACAAAATTGGCACATATGTTTAGAATTAAATTCCACTAAACACGCCTGAACTTTATTTTGTTGATCTAGATTTGACATAACCTTCTTAAGCTTTTGGCTCTTATGGTTCCTTTCATCTTTTTTGCTCTTTCAGGTGCTATGCCAGAGATTGTAAACTTCTGTTTCCCAATTAACTAAAATTCTCTGTTATACTCAGAATCAAAGTCTGTTTATCTTAAATTGGGTGGCTTTGTGATTCTAACATTTTTGTTAGAATCACTTTTGTGCAGTCCTGGGTTTTTGGTTTTTTTTCATCAGTCACAGTTCAAACTGACAGAAACTCACATTAATGAATAACTCTGTTTAACAGAAAACTGGCAGTTTGTACTTCAAATTTCTTCCTATATGTATGGGATGGTAGGGAGAGAATATATGCTCAGTGCTGTAGTAGGTTGATTGTGCAATAAAGATCTGATTATTATTGTATTAATTACTAAGTTATTAATTAGTTTATTTTGTGAAATAGGGGAAAATGATTTGTAGAAATATAGTGGTGGAGATTCCAAATAATGGAACAGGGTAGGTACTTAATTACAACATAATTATGTAGGTGAATGTGTAAATCTGGAAACTACTATACATGTATTTTTTAAAAACCTAAGCACATTTCCCTGTTGCACAAAATTGATTCTCCATCAGAAAAAGGACTTCAATAGTAATTCAATATAAGTGCTATGCTGAATGGGGTGGCAACTGCGACACCAGAGATTTTTGCTTGTTCACACATGTGTTGCTGCTTAGGCTGTACTAAGCAATCACATGGGACTCTATTGTAAACTGATTTCTGGTGTCGTTGTTCCCCCCCCAGGTGGAGGAAAAGAATTGAGTGCTGAATTTAAGCCTGGCTGAGAAACATACTGGCATCGGTGTCATTAATGAAAGGGTGGCTGTTTGTCCCTGAGAGCCAGTGGCCTTCTGATTCATGAAGCCGCTGTGCCTGAAGGTCAGTTCACTGGTGGTTTAGGAAGGAGCTAAGAATAAACTCTTAGTATCATCTAGTTTGTTTGTTTTTGTTTTGTTTTTTTGTCTGCAGTGAAATAACTAATATCTTGACATAGCTTTACATATAAATTACTTTTCCTACCGCATAATAAGAATACTCGACGCATTACAGTTATTATCTTTAAAAAAAAATCTGTGGAGATTGTCTCTGCAAAATTTTAAATCTAGTGATCTTTGCAACACCTGGCTAAATTCATCTCACTTTCCAGAAGAAATGCTCAGAATGATCACTCTAGCTCCTGTGATATTGAGTATCTGATCTCAAGCTTCTTTAACAGTCCTAGAATGTTTAAAAGTAAACGTATTTCCTTAGAATAACTAATAGCCTGTTTGTATGCATGTTTACGTAGCTAGAGATATCTGTAGAGCAAAGAACTTTTTAAGCAAGCATCTACCGCATATACTTGTAGATAAGCTGAGAATTTTAGGTGCCAAAATGCACCTAAAAATCTCAGTTCAGTTTATCAGTGGATGGGCATATCCATAATGCTTTTTAAAAGTATGCATTTGATTAATTGATTGAATTGATTTGATTTCTATAGCCGTCCATCTCAACAAATGACACTGGCCAGCATACAGCATAGAATATAACAGCAAATTTAAAACAATTATAACAATACAAAAATGTATGGCACCAAGTAGAACTATAACCATGGATGTTAATACAACCAAGAAATGGGGCCCTTAATACACTCGGGCCCCAGGCCTGAGCACACAACCAAGTCTTCATGGCCTTACAAAAGAACAGCAAGGTCCGGATCATCCTGATCTGTGAAGGGAGAATGTTTCAGAGGGCAGGAACTATGATAGAGAAGGCATGTCAACTGGTCCCTGACAGCTGGTATTCATTGGCTGATGGGACCCGTAACACAGCTAAGCTGCCAGATCGAATTAGACAGGTAGAAATGACTGGGAGAAGAGAGTTCCTTAGGTAACCGGCCCCCAAGCCATAAAGGGCTTTAAAGGTGATAACCACTTTGAATTACACTGGGAAGCATACTGGTGTTACATGTGTTGAATACCTGACACCATTTGCTCCCTGTGCAGCTGCATTCTGCACTATTTGAAGCCTCTGAATGCTTTTCAAGGGCAGCCCCATGTAGAACACATTGCAACAATCCAGATGAGAGATCACGAGGGCATGAGTGTAAGTAAAGACTCTCAATCCAGGAATGGGTGCAACGGGCACACAACTCTAAGATGTGCAAAGGCCCTCCTGGCCATTGCTATCGCCTGATATTCACGCAGGAGTGGGGAGTACAAGAGGATCAGATTATCTGTGGATAAATGAATGCATGTTCAAAGTAAACAGAACCTTGTTCACTAAAAACGTTTAGGTAAATTATCACAGTATAAATGTATTTTACCAAATAAGAGTATTTCTGACTCTGATCAGATCCTACAACAAACTGAAATAATCACATGAGGCTATTTGTATTAATTGTTTTATTGGAGGCAAGTCCCAAATTTGAGTATATTTTCCTTGGATATCTTGTTAGCGATGTACTGTCTTTATAGAAAGAAAGGTATGGATCTAGCCAGTCTAATCATATATTGGCTCCAGAGGCAAGCAGAATTCTAGTTAAGCATTTGTGATGTGATCTGGGGCCTTTGGTTTTTTTAGTCTGCAGAAAGGATCCAATAAATTTCAATCCAAAATATTTTTTTTATTTTGCATGGACTCTTTAATCCTAGTTACATATTCATTTAAGAGCTTCATGGTTCATCTGTTAAACTATCATTGCTCCCAAGAAATACAGATTACAGAAACCAAATTCTTTCAGCAATATAATAACCCCAAGTCATGGTGGGAATTGTACATGTTTGAAAGAACTACTCTCTAGTTTCGCTTCACGGCAGAATTATTTTTAAATGTAAATTCTAACTGTGTGTGTGAATATTTGAATGTTAATGGATTTTATCACAGCATTTTGTTAGACAACTATGTTGCAAATCCCTTGTTTTGGTCCTCAAGAACTAAAGCTGCCTTCTTTGAATGTGTTGCAGGAGCTTCATTGCAGAAATGACTATTTATGTCAAACACCTGGGCAGAAGTAAGTCCTTGTCTTACTGGAAGTGAACATCATGACATAATGTATCAATCCAACTTAAAAGAATTCTTTTCCATTTAGAGAAATTAGTGAACCTGAATTGATTCGGCATACTGGAATGCTTTTTGTTGATTAGGAGTTTGTAATTAAAGAACTTTCAGACTGATTAAAAGTATGAAATACCCTTTCCCTCCAGCCCCTATTACCTGGAATTGTCATTATACACTGTTGAAAAAATTCCTGTCTATGTTGTTACTAAAAATACTGTAGCTATATCACAATCTAAAGGCAACATTCCTAAAAATTGCTGTTACCTGTAAAATTTCAGAGCTCACACATGGATGATTTTTAGGCAGTTTTGACTATGGTTGTGTTTTAACTTTTTCATTCTAAATAAAGCACTGTTTCTTAAGCCTGGCATTTTCTAGATATGTGGACTTCAAATCCCAAAATGTCATGGCCAGCATGGTTCTTGATGACAATTCTGAGAGCTGAAGTCTACAGACCTGGAAGTTGCCACAGTTGGGAAACAGGATTCTAAAGCAAAGGAATAAAAGGATTGCCTTTGGTTAATCGCTCTCAGAGGTAGCATTCCTCTATTTCAGGAATCTTTGCTCGTGAGCATGGCTCAAATAAAAAGCTGGCAGCACAATCCTGTGCTCTTTCTCTGGTCAGACAGCTCTATCATTTGAGCATCATTGAGGCTTATTCTGGACAAACCAAGAAGAAGGAAGGCGAATCGGTGAGTTTTGCCGATAATATTCCGTAACTGGTTCATTAGTACATATTGTTTGACTTGCTTGTGATCCCCTTTGGGAATATTGTAGTCCTGAAAAGCAGGATACAAAGAAAAGTGTAAGCAGGTAGTCCTTGGGTTATGGGAGCAATTGGGACTGACTGGGATTGCTGTCCTAAGTAATCTAGTCATAAAGCTCAAAGTTATTGATTGCATTGCTTAGTTGGCATTGTAACCCCAGGACCATGTGGGTTGTTAAGTGGGAAGAGGCGGGAATTTCAAGCAAGGAGAAAGGATGTGCTGTAGGCAGATGTTATGGTGCATGGGTGCACCAACTGAAGCCGGGGGATGGGCAGGGCAGATCACATGCAGATTGAGGAAAGTGCATACTACAGAATGGTGGGCACCATAGAGTATGAGATCCGCTACTCCATAGCAGGTTCCTTGGGAGAAAAAGCAGCAGGAGCAACTTATTATATAACCTTCCCTGCTGGCTTCCCATGGACTTTGCTTGTGGGAAGCTGGCAGAGAAGGTAGCATACAATGATCATGTGACTGCCACTGTTGCATTGTGAACTGGACACCCACCGGGATGCTCCAATAGCTAAGCTAGAACTTCAAGGATTAGTCATAAGCCCATTTTTAGAGTGCTGCTGTAATTTTGAGTGGTAGTCAAGGACTATCTATATACGATTTAGAAATTTGTGGAACCAGATGTAAATAGTTTCCCTTATGTAAATAGCTATGATATTGCAATGCCATTCTATTTTCCTGGGGAAATAAAAGTATTTCAATAGTGGGATAACTAAGCTAAAGAAACAATAATTTTAAATTAATGCATATAGTGGATAATAAGATACTCTCAAAATTGACATCAACCACAAAGTCATTTGGAGAGTCAAGTATTAAAATATATTAGAAGTGCTTTCCTGCTATGATGTCCCTTTGCAATACCTAGAAATATGTGTATGCTTCCTGTTTCCATTCTTATTGTCTCTTGTTTAGGTTTTTTATATATATGGATTTAAATGTGGTGCATAATATTTGTTTTTTAAGATATGTATGTGTTGATGACTTTAGGTAATTGTATTATGGGCCACGAATATTCCATAACTTTTCTCTGTGCAACTTTTTCAGTGCTAGTAAATAATTCAAGATATTTTATTTGTTTTATTGTCTCACATTAATTTTATGGGATTATTTTGGATGTTCATTTTAATTCAATAGGTAGAGCCATATGATATCAATCTCACTTCTAATTTGGAAAGCCAGTTGAAGAGAATTGTAGATGAAATGAATCTTGAAGTCATTTTACCAGTGAGTATGTGTTCAAGAACGCATTGCATTTCCTTTCCTTGAATTTTGTTAAGAGTTTTCACGGCCATTATTTTTTTTAACTTGGCAGCCTGAGGATCCCAGTTCACCCGTTCTGCTCAGCATTGGAAAGTTAGCTCACTTTGAACCATCCCAGAAGCAGAATCAAACGGGAGTTGTGCCATGGTCCCCACCTCAATCAAACTGGAATCCATGGACTAGCTGCAATATTGATGAGGGTCCTCTGGCATATGTAAGTCTGCAATTTATAGCTTCTCATAAATCCTTTGTTTATCATCGATTTCTATTTTCCTGTTTATTTCTATTTATATAAAAAAATTATACTGCACACGCACCATTCTGAAGCATAAAAAAGGTTTCTTTAGAAATTGATGAACTATCCATTTAATTATCTTCTGTTTCCAGGCTACACCAGAACAGATAAGCATAGACATAAAGAGCAACCTCTTGTATCAGCTGGAAAATGACCAGGAACTACAGAAAGTAAGTGTGCAGTTACTTGAATTTGTAGATTCCTTAAGGGTATGCTATACCTTAAAATAGAGACCCAAACAAAGATATGTATATATATTTATCCAGTTTTCTGCATTTCTGAAAAGAAGAGTATATATTTCTGTCTATAGACTCCTAAAAATTTAATTGGGTGAAAAGGTGTATCATAGGGCAACAATTTTGAACCAAGGTACCTCAAATGGGCTAACTTACAAAATGTGACCAAAATCTGGGACCTATGACTCCCAAGAGAATGAAATTGGAAAAGTTGTGGCTGCTTCAGTGCTACTGGCTGCTGTTGGGCTGCAGCTGTGGTCACATGATCTTCATTCTCAACATTCCATGACAGTTTCCTAGCCAGTCTCGCAATCCATTGCTCCCTCCCCCACCCAATAGCACCCATTTACCTGCTTCTGAAAATGGAAGGATGGAAAGTTTACACAAGGAAACTCAGTGGGAAAGCTGGCAGGAAGTCAAGTCTCCTGCTTCCACTGCTTTCTCTACCCCCCCCCCCCACTTGGGTCATTCTGTTTCTCTGGTTGGATAAGGAAATAATTCTGAAATGATTATATAAGTGGGCACAAGTTGTCTAGTGTCTCATCAAGTTTACCTAACATATTTATGTTTTCAGTAAGCTGAAGAGCACGTTTAGAGCTCCTTTTAAAATCTTATAGTCACAGAACTTGAAGGACAGTAGTTTGCTAAACAGATACACTCAGAGAAGAACTTACAAATGAACAATTATTTAGCAGGTCATAATTGCATAATACTAACAGTGAACTTTTTCCTGTCTCAGATTCTTCAAGAGAGGGAAACCCTGCCTGTGAAGAACTTTGAGCGAGATATCCTAAATGCTATACGTCAGAACTCTGTTGTGATCATCCGTGGGGCTACAGGTTGTGGCAAAACCACACAGGTTCCACAGTACATCTTGGATGAATGCATCCATGGTGGAAGAGCTGCAGAATGTAATATTGTTGTCACTCAGGTGAAAAACTTATTCAAGCCAATATTTCCAGTTAGCCTACTATTTTACATTCTGATAGGGACTTTTTAGATCCAAAGCTGAAAAGATGCTTTGTAGCAGACATGAGTGTGTACATCATGAATGTTGACCCCTCATAGATGCTGCATTTTTTCTTGAATTCATATGGTAAACAGATTGAAGTACTACTACTTCCTTTTTTTATCTAAAGTGCTTCATATCCCTAGTTCTTTTTTACATCTCCCAAATAAATTTGGGATAAACTTATTTATTTATAAAGGCAATACCTGAAGCAGTATTTTATATTGTTAATTACCAGTATGAATGTTTAAGCACATTTTTATACATACAAATAACTGCAAATAATTATGTTTGAATTTCAATTTCTCAGGACATCTATACAAATCCTGCATGTTTGTATAACTTGGGTCAGTTCTGTGATTTTTCTTGATGGACTTGTTCCTTTTTATGAGGTGATAACAGGATTCTTACTCAACCTGTGATATCTTTTCTACACAGCCTAGGAGGATCAGTGCTGTCTCTGTAGCAGAAAGAGTTGCTTATGAAAGAGCAGAAGAACCTGGAAATAGTTGTGGCTACAGTGTTCGCTTTGAATCTATGCTTCCCCGGCCACATGCCAGTGTGATGTTCTGCACTGTAGGTGGGTGTTGCTTGTTAAAATGTATAGGCTATGATAGAGTGGTTAATAGAATTTGACAACAATAGAGGATCTCTTCTCATACTTCCCTTGGAGAACATGAAATGGCTGATGCTAGAAACATTTGTTCCACGTGCTTCCTATTGTCCATTCAGAGATGGTTGAAAACAAAAGCATTTTGTTTTGTATTGGGCTGGGCTTGTTTGGATAGTATAGTAGTGGCCAAAATTGTGGAAACCTTTTGGGAAAAGTGTACAGTAGAAATGCCACCTTTGGTTAAGTTTCCACCAATTTTTCTTCTAATTTCTTTATAACTGTAGTCTTGTTCACTTAATAATACTATTTTACATCGCTTTCTGGGCAACCAGTCAACTCTTTGCACCATTACTTTAAGTTTATTATCTTTTACAAGCTCACTAAATGAAAGAAAAAAAAAACCCAACCAACTTGATAGTGATCACATAACACACTGCAAATGTCCTCCTCTCAGCTTCAATACATGACATCAATAACTGATTCCTACTGTGATCTGATTGGCTCATTGCCAAAACAAGATGACACCTGATTGGCTCTCTAAACACTCATGCTCATTGGCTACAATCAGCTGAAGGAAAGCTACCTGATATCAACCTAAGCAAGTTGTGCTTCCTTTTTCTGGTTATTTGGCTATAACGTTTCATAGAATACAGTACAGATAATTGAACAAACTATGTTGCATTACATTCTTGATTAAATTATCTTTCCATTGATATATAATTTTATGGTACTACTCCCAAAAAAAGTGGTGTTATTAGCCATCAAACCTCAAAAATAGACTTTTCCCAAAAGGTTTCCCCAATTTTGGCCACTACTGTAAATAACTGCCATACAGATAGTAACAATTGTAAGTAGTTGTGGGATGTTTTGTTTCTGCCCTTTGTTGTTGTTATCCATAATGAATTGAAATCAAGGATGAGATTTAGAAAGGGTTTTATTTAGTTCCTGCGTTGTAAATTGTTTTTATCTTGTAAGCTTTCCACAGTGTAGGGTAAGAACTGCTAAAAGGAAGGAAGAAAAATAAATGAGGAATTGTCAGACCACAGCATGATTACTTTGCTTGCTTATATCACTCAGTTTGATGGCATTTGGCTAGTTTAACAAACCATGATTAGAATGGATTTCCATGATATGTTCACAGTTAGTAACTGTGTTGTGTTACAGTGTCTTTCCTAATCTGTTCTGTAAAAGGAATCATTTGCCCTAATTAATCCATCCTCATTGATAAAGACCTGTTTTTAAGGTGTCCTCCTGAGAAAGCTGGAAGCTGGAATTCGTGGAATCAGTCATGTCATAGTGGATGAAATTCATGAGAGAGACATTAATGTGAGTAAGCTTTTAATTTATCCAAGCAGAAATTATTTGCTATACATTATGTAAATGTTTCTGCTGTTGTGCCATATGAAAGTGAGCACAATTTCTGTCATCATGTTGCTGCATTCTACCCAAGTAGTAATAATATCCATATTATTTTTACATTAAAAGTGGGCATTTTTTTTAAATAGTTGCTTTGTTCACATATAGCTTCTTACAGTTATCTAAGGTAAACATTACTCCCTTGTAAAATAACCTTGTACAGCTGTTAAGATCTAGCCAGTATGGTGTAGACTGTAGAGCAGACATGTCAAACACAAGGCCCGGGGGCCGGATGCGGCCTGTGAAGTGGTTTCATGTGGCCCGCGAAGCCATCCTGGAAACAGTGAGGGAACGGCCCCCGCTGCCTTGGCCCTGGCCCAGGCCAGCCGGGAGCCAATGTACAATTTTGTGCTGGCCATCTTGGCACTTGCCCCGGTGGACCATGCCTTGGCACTTGCCCCGGTCCCACCCCCTTCTGCCAGAGACCCTCAGTTCTGTCCCACTCCTGCCCAGGCCCCCACAGGCACCCTTGACGCGAATGATGTAGAACTGGCCATGCCCATCCAGTAGGCCACACCCACTCCATCCACGCCCCACCCAGTAGGCTGCACCCACTCTGGCCACACCCACCCAGCCCCCCAAGGGCAACCACAATGCTGATGCGGCCCTCAGTGAAATTGAATTTTACACCCCTGCTGTAGAGGTTAAGGTGCTGGCTTTGAAACCAGGACACTGAGCTCTAGCCCTCCCTTAGGCATGAAAGCTGTCTTGGTGATTTTGTGTTATTCACTCTCTTTCAACCCAGCCCACCTCACCGGATTGTTGGGAAATAAGAGGCAGGAGTATTATGTTTGCCACCTTGAGTTATATATTAAAAACAAAGGATAAAAATCTAATAACCTTGAACAAATCTGAAAAATACCATCTACCGTATTGCATCCAGTATCAGTAATTATTAGAAAAGTACAGTGATCCAGATTCAAAGGGGAAAACATGACTCAGACGTATGGGTTCACTCAAGATATACATGCTGACTCCTGCTTAAATTGACCACACTTTTCCTGGAATCGTGAGCAGGAGCTGCAGAAGCTATTTTTAAAAGAGCTGCCACCAGGTATGACCTGAGTGCCCCTGTGCCTTTGAAAACTTTTTTTTTCTTTGGAAACAGGATCATTGCACTGTTGTAATATTTATCATACAATAAATAACTAGAAGTAACAACATAATCTTGGAAGTTTGGATCACAGTGCACTCAGAGTTATAATATGATGGTTAAAAAATAACCCTTATAGGTTACATCTACAAAGCATCATTACTTTGCCTACATTACAGGAAAAATATTGTGGCATATGGGTTTGTGATCTCGCATGGCTGCTGGTGTGAGTTAGCCATTGTAGTAAGTAAAAGAGGGAGAAAAAAACAGCTCAATGCTGATTTTGAAAGGCAACATTGTCATTACCGTTGATTAATTGACCTGGCTCCCTAGCCAGGGTTGGTATAGAGAGATTTTCAGACAGGAATGCCCTTGGTTCAGCCTGGTATATAAGTGTTGGAGACTAGAACTCTGTGGGGGACACCAACCTCCTCAGTTGTTCAAATTCAAATTTATTTGATTTATATACCGCCCTTCTCCCTTGCGGGACTCAGGGCGGTGAACAGGCACATTAATAAAACAGCAATACCACAATATTTAAAAATATTCAAAACTAATTAAATTATTTGTCCTGTCCTAAAACCCACTATAACAATATAAAATTATACCCAATTTAAAATTTTAGAATTTCAGATTTATGCCAGACCGGCCTCTTGAAACAGATAGGTCTTTAGGGCTCGGCGGAAGAGGCGTATGTCCCCCATTGTACGGAGGTCAGGGGGCAGCTCGTTCCATAGAGTAGGAGCTGCCACAGAGAAGGCTCTCCCCCTGGGGGTCACCAGCCGGCATTGTCCGGCCGACGGCACCCTGAGGAGGCCTAATCTGTGGGAGCGGACTGGTCGAAGGGAGGTATGTGGCAGAAGGCGGTCCTGCAGATAACCTGGTCCACTGCCATGGAGCGCTCTAAAGATGGTCACCAACACCTTGAAGCGCACCC